CTGATTGGCCTGGGAGTGGGGGAGCGCATCTTCTCCTGCTGCCAGGGGCCTGGGTGCCTAAAGGGAGCTGCTAGCTGTTCAGAACAGTTGGGCTATGTCTACACTCGCAGCTTCTTGCGTGAGTAATATGCAAATGAGGCTACGTGTGGAATATCGCCGAGCCTCATTTGCATACCTAATGAGCCACCATTTTTTCAGAAGAGGCTCTTGTGCAAGAAGGAGCATCTACACTGCCCCTTCTTGCGCAATGCCGTTACACCTATTACTTTTCAGGCAGAACAGCATTGCGCAAGAGGGTTTTTCTTGCGTGAGAAGGGGCAGTGTAGATGCTCCTTCTTGCGCAAGAGCCTCTTCTGAAAAAAAATGGTGGCTCATTAGATATGCAAATGAGGCGTGGCGATATTCCATGCTTAGCCTCATTTGCGTATTACTTGCGCAAGAAGCCGCGACTGTAGACATAGCCTTGGTGTTTTTCTGGGAGGGAGAGGGAGCAAAGGCATCACACACTCCCCACCCCCAGGCCTGGGGACGGGAGCGCGCAAACTCTCTCGGTCCCTGTCCTCGCCCTGCCAGTGGCATGCAGCACTTAGGCTACGTCTACGTTGCAGGCTCCTTGTTGGTTCATTCTAAGCGCCACATGCCCCTGGGAGGGGAAGAGACTTCATGTGCTACCCAGGCCCTGATTGGCCTGGCATTGGAGGAGCAGCAGGGCACCTATGGGCAGGATCAACCCGCGTGGCAGGCCAGATCTTGTTCGTGGAAGCTCTCTTGCCTACCCCTGGGTTAAAATCTGCACACTTGAACAGGATACATATGGTCTGATCTTGTGTCACTCTAGTGCAGGGGTGGGGAGCCCCAGGCTCAGGGGCCAAATGCAGCCCTTGGCTTGCCTAGCTCCAGCCCCTGAAGCTCAGCGGTGCCCCCCCTATAACATTCCCCCCGTCGGGCAGCTGCACATAAAACCTACTAGCCTGGACCCCCCTAGGCTCTGGTGTGTGAGGGGAATGTGGGAGGGGCCACATCAGTGAGGGGCTTTTTTTTTATTATTATTTTTCATGTCGTCGTGTGCGGCCCCTGACCCAAAAAGAGATTCCCCAGCCCTGCTCTGGTGCTTTTCCGTGTGTTTGGACTCTGGAGCTGTGTCTACACTGGCCACTTATTCCGGAAAATCAGCCGCTTTTTCGGAATAACTTGCCAGCTGTCTACACTGGCCCCTTGAATTTCCGG